AGCCTCCCAAAGGCGCGGGATTACAGGCTGAGCCACCGAGCCCGGCTCTAATTTACTTTTTAAATAAACTATATTTTCTAATCTAAAAAAGAAAAAATAATTTTGCTTGTTTCTTTTTGCCATTTTAATGTGGTGACTAGATCATTTAAAATCACATCTGTGGTTCCCATCTGTGGTCTACACTAAGTTTCTATTTAACAGAGCTGCTCTAGCTGATCTTGTTTTTAAGATAATAGATTTTCTTATTATGCTAACCAGTGTAAGTCAGGGTTGTTTTTTTTTCTATAGAAAGTATCCTGCGTGAGCCCACCGGTTCAAGACCAACCAGGCAACATGGCGAGACCTCATCTCTACAATAAATCAAAAAATTAGCTGGGTGTGGTGGCGCGTACCCATAGTTCCAGCTACTTGGAAGACTGAGGTGGAAGGATAGTCTGAGCCCAGCAGGTCTCGGCTGTGGTGGCCGTGAGCATGCCAGTGCACTCCAGCCTGGGCAACACAGTGAGACTCCAACTCAAGAAAAAGTAAAAAATAAAAATTAAAAAAAAAAGGAAAGCAACCTACTTGAAACAGGATCTGCTACATTATTTTATTTTTTGAGTTGGAGTCTCACTCTGTCGCCTAGGCTGGAGTGCAGTGACATGCTCACGGCCACCGCAGCCTTGACCTACTGGTGTCAATTCTCTCACCTAGGTCTCCCAAAGTGTTGGGATTATAGGTATGAGCCACCACGCCCAGCCTTACACATATTTAGTTAACATATTTACCTTTGAAATAGATGGCCATATAGCAGTATGTAAGCATGCTTTTTTTTCTTCACTCCTATAATTTTCTACCTCCAAAATATAAGAAAGAATTCTCCCATTGTCCGTAATTTTTTAACTTCTAAAGCATAACCAGCCCTTTAAGGAGCTTGAGAGTGTATTAAATGGAATTTTCAAACATACAGGATTAGTAACAGCCTAATTACCATACTCCTTAATCACAGGTAATTGGCCTTTGGAGGACTTATTACCACACTGGGGAATTTATTGCTCTCCTCAAATCTTTGGTTCACTGGTATCACAGATATTCCATGGAACAATCCCAGGAGTGTAATTCTTTTAATCATTCAGAGATTTTCTGTATGTCTAATGTATGAGAAAAAAAAAACCTCTGGATTTGTCAATAGACATTAAGATAATGTTATGTGGTAGAGCCCTTAGTTTTAGGGTCAATTTCCTCCCCCTCAAAATAGCATTTAGAAAATGTGTTAAACTCAAAAGAAGATGACATGTTTCAGGATTGAAGCAAGTAGATCTTTAAGAAAACCTTAATTAATATTTTTAACTATGTCTGACAATCTTCAATTTAAAGGTTTACTAATTAAAATGCATCATAATTTTGGCAAATCAGTATTGCATAGAATTTATCGCAAGTTACCTTATGTGACAAGGATATTTAAACATCATAAAACTTATAGAGAATTAAAATGCCAAGTAATATTTGGATTATCTGTATGTATAAGCATGACCTCACATTTTATATGGTTACATAAAACACTCTGCAGAGATTGTCATGTGAAACCTTATATGCACAAATAAGTAAAATCAGGTATAATTAAGGGAAAATTGAAAACAGTTCATCTTTGAAAAAAGGAAACAGATCCCAGAAATCATAGATAAATCAGATAATATTCTCCAACACATTATAAGCAAAGAGAAATAACGTACACTTATCTGGAAGGGCATAAATTTCTCCTTTAAAATCGACATTTTATAAAACCAAACTGGTGTCAGGCCATTTAAATTTCCTCCCATGATACAGCATCACAGTATACCTAAGTCACATTCACACATGTATTCACTGTCTCATAACGACTGGTACGGCACTTGACTAGAAATGTATATAAAGTGTCTCCATCTCATTTTAAGGTGACAAAGAATGTATCTTCTCTCGCAAATTATTATAAGATTTAGATTGTGTTATTTCTAAATGGATGAATTGTTTCATTCAATTAGCAAATATTTCTGGTGTTATCTCCCTGGTTCTGGTACTAGTCACTGGAGCATGATGAACAAGGCAGAAAAGATCACCTACTATCATGAGCCTTCAATCATAAAGAAATAAAGCGAATTTTTGGAAATGTCAGTGAATCTTAAGAGTGTTTTTTAAGTTTAGAGGCAGATGCTAATATTTCAGAGTACAGAAACTAAATGTTAAATGACCTTGATGCTCTACCAAACAGATCCTATTAAAAAGTAAATGGAAATATAAATAAGCACAGACTGTCACACAGTTACATCCAAATACTAAAAATATGTGTTAATGAATACCTGACTATCCACAGAAAAGACAAGCAGAGCCGGGTATGGTGGCTCATGCACTTTGGGAGGTGGAGGCGAGAGGATTGCCTGAGTCCAGGGGTTCAAGACCAACCTGGGCAACTTGGCAAGAGCTCGTCTCTACAATAAGCAAAAATATTAGCTGGGTGTGGTGTTGTGCACCTGTAGGGATTGCCTGAGCCCTGGAGGTTGAGACTGCGGTGGCTGTGAGCGAGCCACTGCACTCCAGCCTGGGAGACAGAGTGAGACTCCAACTCAAAAAAAAGAAAAAAAATAGAGAGAGAGAGAGAGAGGGAGAGAGAGAAACAGAAAACAGCAAAATAGAGAGGGAGAGAAAAAAATCCAAAGGAATTTAAAAATTACCAGCATGCTAAAGGCAGGAAATAGTACTTCAATTCTATTCTACTTTAATCAGACCATCAGTTCATCAGTCAATTCTGTCCAAAATGAACCTGTGCTTCCAAAAGAACAATTACTTCTCCTTATATTTACACCTATGTCAGGCATAGTAAAAAAGAGGAATCACTCTTGTTTCTAGGTGTCTTTCAAAATAGAAATAAATCCCGGGGCACGATTTCCTCATGGGCATTTTCATAATAAACAAAATATAGACTTAGAATTATATAGTGGACGATGGCAGGACCTCCTCCCTCCGTTGATCTGGGAACTTTAAAATCCACTGTATGCGCAACCCTCTCAGGTCCCCTCCCACTGTGGGGGTTTTCTGTCCTCTCAATAAATCCTGCTTTCAAAAAAAAAAAAAATCCACTGTATGAACTGGGCGCGGTGGCTCACGCCTGTAATCCCAGCACTTTGGGAGGCGGAGGCGAAAGGACTTCCTGAAACCACGGGTTTGAGACCAGCCTTGGCAACTTGGCGAGACCTCATCTCTACAAAAAAAAAAAAAAAAAAAGCAGGGCGTAGTGGCCCACGCCTGTAGTTCCAGCTGCTTGGAAGGCTGAGGCAGAAGGATCGCCTGAGCCCAACAGGTCGAGGCTGCGGTGGCCGTGAGCGTGCCGCTGCACTCCAGCCTGGGCGACAGGGTGAGACTCCGACTCAAAATAATAATAATAATCCACTGTAAGCTGAGTTATAAAATCTTGTATTGGCTCCAGATTGGATATACTCTGTGGTACAACCCAGATGTTTCCAGACTCAAAGACGCTTTACTGCAAGACTCCCTAATCTCCGGCAATCACCCGGAAGCCCGGAAGCTATCCGGTCCCATGGCGATGCGGTAAAAGCACTGGTTGAGCACTCGAAATATTTTCAAAGCAAACAGCTCTTCCTGAAATATTACCATTTGCATCCGGAACGCAAGTTCTCGCGAAAAGATGAGTTCACGCCAGCAGCGAAACTGCGCTTTTGCGCCTGCGCGCGCCGAGCAGCCCGCACTTCCGGCTGGGCGGTGCTGTCTCTCACAGCAGCTTTCGGTCCTGTGCCGAGAGGTAGCGCTTTGTTCGCTGCGTCTGCTGCTCCGGGCTGAGGCTTGTCGTGCTGCTGAGTCTGATTCTCCGAGCCTCGGCTTTCGGCGAGATTTCGTGCTGCACATCCCTGGCCCTTTCGCTGGTAATCAGTAGTGATCGCTTTGCCAAGCGGCAGGAAGAACAAAGGAATCGAGAGGGAGGCGTTCGGCTCCTGGTTGCTTTGCTCCGAGCGGCTCTTCTGTTCGCTCTGGCCGGGAGAAGCTGAGTTTATAATCGTCACTGGATTGTAAGTACCCGAGGCGAAGGGAGCTCACTGCGCCCACTCTTTTAAATATATTTGTCTTGGGGGAGTTTGTGGACTGGGATTGTTTGCTGGGACTTACTTTCTTTACCGAAATCTTTCTGCAGGAGCCGCCATTTGCTTTCCTGCTCGCTGGCGCGTTCTGCATTGTCCGGCAGCGGCACCTAGAGGCTGGAACTTGGCATTGCATTGCATCTGGTAGATTTGAAGAGCTGAGTAAGTTACTCGTGTCAGTAACGACTGATACTTAGGACAGCGTACTTAGAGAAAAGATTTAGAGCTTAATTCAAAATCAAGACAGAATAGACGCTTAGCTGCTGATCTTGAGATTCCTTGTAGTTAAAGATTTCAACTGCTGCAGTAGCTGGAACTTTTTTAGCACAACCAGCGTGTATTAGAGCAGAAGTGAGTCACAAAGAAACAAAGATGAGTAAAAGCAAAGATGATGCTCCTCATGAACTAGAGAGCCAGTTTATCTTACGCCTACCTCCGGAATATGCCTCTACTGTGAGGAGGGCAGTACAGTCTGGCCATGTCAATCTGAAGGACAGACTGACAATTGAGTTACACCCTGATGGACGTCATGGGATAGTTAGAGTGGACCGGGTTCCATTGGCCTCCAAATTGGTAGATCTTCCTTGTGTTATGGAAAGCTTAAAAACCATTGATAAGAAAACCTTTTACAAAACAGCTGATATCTGCCAGATGCTTGTGTCCACAGTTGATGGTGATCTCTATCCTCCTGTGGAAGAGCCAGTTGCCAGTGCTGACCCCAAAGCAAGCAAGAAAAAGGATAAGGACAAAGAGAAAAAGTTCATCTGGAACCATGGAATTACTCTGCCTCTAAAAAATGTCAGAAAAAGGAGGTTCCGGAAGACAGCAAAGAAGAAGTATATTGAATCTCCAGATGTAGAAAAAGAAGTGAAACGATTGCTGAGTACAGATGCTGAAGCTGTCAGTACTAGGTGGGAAATAATTGCTGAAGATGAAACAAAAGAGGCAGAAAATCAAGGCCTGGATATCGCTTCTCCAGGAATGTCTGGTCACAGACAGGGGCATGACTCATTAGAACATGATGAGCTTCGGGAGATATTCAATGACCTCAGCAGCAGCAGTGAAGATGAAGATGAGACACAACATCAAGATGAAGAAGATATAAACATCATCGACACTGAAGAAGATCTGGAGAGACAGCTACAGGACAAGCTAAATGAATCAGGTGAACAGCACCCAGAAAATGAAGGAACCAGTCAGCTGGTTATGGGAATTCAAAAGCAGATTGACAACATGAAAGGCAAGCTCCAGGAGACCCAAGACAGGGCAAAACGACAAGAGGATCTCATCATGAAAGTGGAAAATCTGGCTCTCAAGAACAGATTTCAGGCTGTGTTGGATGAACTCAAACAAAAGGAAGACCGAGAAAAGGAGCAGCTCAGCTCTTTGCAAGAAGAGCTGGAATCACTCCTAGAGAAGTAAAAAGTTTTCATACTTAGCTTCATTCCTCAGACTGGTCAGCATTAATAAAACCTTGGCTTCACACTTGGACTGACGATTAAGATCTTGCAGTAGTTTACACTCCCACTAATGTTGAATGTTCTGTTGAATTATTAGTTTTTGATTTTGTTTTTCAGTAAAATTATCTCATTTTTTAGGTATTTATCCTATAGGGAGTAGGATTGCTTAGACAGAAAATGATTGTTGGAAAGTTATAGGATTAGTGGAATGGATATTTCAACCTTAATAATCACAGCCTCAGGGCAGGGCTTTGCTATTGTTTTTTTTTTTTGTTTGCCAGAAGCTGCTGTTGCTGCTTTGTGATGCCATCTGAGATCAGTAAGAAAACCTAGTCTGGAGGCAGTGAAGCTAGTTTGCATATGTTTTCCCATGTTGTAGCTATTTCCCCAGTTTTTCAAAGCAGTTTCACTCATGTAGAGATGTAAATCATTCACTAAGTTTTTTCTAACAAATAAAAGCAACTGTTTTTCACTGTATAACGTATCTTCTTTCATGGTTAGTGGGAGTTAGATCCTCTTGTGGGGTGGTTTGATGGTTTAGTGACTGAGCAATTTGATCTTGTTTTGCAGGTAAAGAGGCAGATGCATTGGGTTTTATGAAAAACAGGAACACAGCAGGGGCAAAGAAATTGGGAAATGTTATCTGCATTATATTAAGGTTATAATCCACCTGCTCCATTTGGAAGTTGGGAAACAGGTACAGAGCCTTCTAAACTACCCTAATATTTGTTCATGAAGGTCTGTTTATACCTTTTTAAAAAATAAAGTATTGACTGAGTAGGGTGGCCCATGCCTGTAATCCCAGCGCTGTGGAAGGCCTAGGTGGGAGAATTACTTGAGACCAGCCTGAGCAACATAGTGAGACCCTGTCTCTATTAACAAATTATTAGCCATGTGTAGTAGTATGCACTTATAGTGCATAGCTACTGGGGAGGCTGAGGTGGGAGGATTACTTGAACCCAGGAGTTCAAAGCTGTAGTGATCTCAGATTGTGCCACTTCACTCCAGGGAGACTCTGTTTCAAAAAAACAAAACCCACTAAAATGTGAGAAACAAAACAATGATGACTGTCAAGTACAGTCCAATGAACCATTCCATTGATTTGGAATAAGGTATTTCTAATTTTCTTCAGTTTCATTCCAGTAATAATTTAACATTTTGAGAACTCAGGTCATTTATCCATGTCATTCATCAAAATTGTTCATAAAGGAAGTCAGGACCATAGTCTTAACGTTTTTAAAGAGTTTTTAAACAATTTTCATTGCCTTCAAATGTTCATGCTCTTCATACTCTAAAGAAAATCTAATGTCTCACAATTGGTACACTTTTGAGAAACCAGTGACTGATAAAATTTACAAGATGCTGGTGGGTGCAGTGACTCAAGCCTGTAATCTCAGCACTTTGGGAGGCCAAGGCGAGAGGATTGCCTGAGCCCGCCGGTTCAAGACAACCTGGGGAACATGGTGAGATCTCATCTCTACAATAAATCAAAAGTATTAGCTGGGTGTGTAGCACGCACCTGTGGTTTCAGCTACTTGGAAGGCTGAGGTGGAAGGATTGCTGGACCCCAGCAGGTCGATGCTGACTGGGGTGGCTTTGAGTGTGCCCCTGAACTCCATCCTGGGTGGTGTAGTGAGACTCCAACTCAAAAAATTTACAAAATGCAGAGTTTTGAGTAATTCATTTCTGACAAATTGGTTTATAAAAAGTGTTAGTCATGAAATAAACATTTAAAGTCCACTTTAATACTGACAGGAAACATTAATGTTGAAATGTTAAAATCAGTTGTCCAAATCTATAATCATACATGCTGATATTTGGAGACATTGGAAGGCGAATTTTTTTCACACATCAAAAAAATTTGTAACTAAAATTTCAGTACAGGCCAGGCTTGGTGGCTCAGCCTGTAATCCCAGCACTTTGGGAGGCTGAGGCGGGTGGATTGCCTGAGCCCATGGGTTTGAGACCTACCAGGGCAGCTTGGTGAGACCTCATCTCTACAATAAAAAATTAGCTGGGCATGGTAGTGCGTACTTGTAGTTCTGGCTACTTGGAAAGCAGAGGCAGAAGGATTGCCAGAACCCAGCAGGTTGAGGCTGCACTGGCTGGGAGCCTGCCACTGCAATCCAGCATGGGCGACAGTGAGATTCCAACTTAGGAAAAAAAAAAAGATTTCAGTACAGACTATGGAGGCTTAAGCAAGATCTCCCTCAATATTTAGATTTTAGATTATTTCTTGAGGTTTGCAAGTAATAAAAAGCAAGTTTTCTTAACACTTTAGAGTGGTGGGGGACAAATTCTGTTTTCAGTACGTCTAGGGATTTTGCTACACTTAGAAGATTGACACCTGAAAAGCTCTCACTATATCGGCTTTACAGTATTTCACTTACTAAATAATTTATTCTTACCAAGATTTCAACATCAATAATGGAAAGGAAAGATGCTGGGTGCAAATAAAGTGGTATACTGAACTCACATTCCTGTATCAGTCATTAGCTCTGCTGATTCTAAAATCCATGTTTCTAAGCCTGATCTCTTCTGTACTTCAGATTTAGTATATTCAGCTGTTTACTAGAAACACAGTTGGAAGTATCCCTCAGGCACTTTAACTCTAAATGTTCAAAATGGAACTCATGCTTTTCCTTTGAAAGCTTGTTCTTACTTCCTTATGGCCCCACTACCCACCCCAGCTGTGGAATCCAGAAACTTGAGCCACAACTTGACTTCTCCTTTGCCCTCACTATTTCTGTTTCTAATTTATTTATTTATTTATTTTTGTGTTGGAGTTTTACTCTGTCACCTAGGCTGGAGTGCAGTGGCATGCTCACAGCCACTGCAGCCTTGACCTGCTGGGCTATGGCAATCCTTCAGCCTCTACCTTCCAAATAGCTGGAACCACAGGTGCGTTTCACTGCGCCTAGCTAATTTTTTGGTTTATTTGTAGAGATGAAGTCTCACCAAGTTGCCCAGGCTGGTCTTGAACCTCTGGGCTGAGGCTCTGCTCTTGCTTCTGCCTCCCGAAGTGCTGAGGTTACAGGTGTGAGCCACTGCAGCCAGCCTGTTTTTTACTTCTTAAAAAGCTCTCCAATCACTCCATCCCCATCACCACTGTCCTACTTCAAGCCATTATTAGCTCTTGCCTAGAAAATGGCAGTAGCTTCCTAACTGGTGAGTGTATAAGCATTTTTCTTTACTATCCAATTTAGTTTTTTGGCTCTGCTACCAAAGTGACATTTGATGTCTTTCTGAGATATATTTGATCACATCACTCCCATGTCACTTCAGTGAGCCAGGCGTGGTGGCTCATGGTTGTAATCCCAGCACTTTGGGAGACTGAGGTGAGAGGATTGCCTGAGCCTATGGGTTCAAGACCAGTTTGAGCAATATGGTGAGACCTCATCTCTACAATAAATCAAAATTAGCCGGGCATGGTGGTGCGTACCTGTAGTTCTAGCTACTTGGAAGGCTGAGGCAGAAGGATCGCCTGAGCCCAGGAGGTCGTGGTTGTCAGCATGCCACTACATTCCAGCCTGGGTGACAGAGTGAGACTCCCAACTCAAAAATAATAATAATAATCCTTCAGTGGCACATCACTGCTCTTAGGATTAAGTTTACATTTTGTAAAATTTTGAGTAAGATGGTTGGTCGTGGTGGCTCAGCTTGTAATTCCAGCACTTTGGGAGGCCAAGGCGAGAGGATTGCCTGAGCCCAGGGGTTCAAGACCAGCCTGGACAAGTTGGTGAAACCTCATCTCTACAATAAATCACAAAAACTAGCTGGGTGTGGTGCATCTGTAGTTCCAGCTACTTGGAAGGCTGAGGCAGAAGGATCGCCTAAGCCCAGCAGGTCGAAGCTACAGTGGCCGTAAGCATGCCACTGCACTTCAGCCTGGGTGACAAGAGTGAGACTCCAACTCAAAAAAAAAAATGCATAAGATTGTGAGTGGTCTATTTACTTTTTCATCCTTGGTTCACCACATCCCCTCACTATATGGTCAATCTACCCTGAGCTTATTTACATTTTTTCAAGAAGTTTACTCATTCTTCCACTCCTGGACCATAGAGTCTTTTAACAAGCTGTTTACTCCAGCTAGAAGACTCTCTCCTTTGAGTTCTACTTAATCCTCAAGTCTCAATCTAAGTATCACTCCAGCAGGGCTTTCTTGACCTCTTTCTCCATTTAGGTTAAAACAATCCTTTTATGGCATTTTCTGTACTCTGTGTTTCTCTCTCTCATTCATTCATTCAACAAACATTTTTTGTGCCAAACAGTACAAGATACTGGATATGAAAGACTGAGCTAAGCACTTAGTGTCTGTAATTCCAAGCACCCCACAGTCTACTGGTATAAAAACCTGTTATGACAAAAGTTTAAATTATGTTGCTCATACTCCCCCTAGGCTGTAAATTCATTGAGAGACTTTGTTTGTTAGTCACTGTAAGCTTAGAAAAAAGTCGTAAAGAGATAAAAATCTTCAGGTCAAGATATGTAGTTCCTAGGTTTGTATCCAAACTCAGTGATCTATTGTGTAATCCTGCACAGTAACCTAATCTGTTTACCTCCATTTTCTCATCTCCAACATGGAGATGGTAATCTTACCTGCCTCATAGGGCTGTTGGCTGTTGCCTGCTGAATCATAAAAGACTTAACTTAGAATAGTGCTTGGAATATAGTAAACGAACAACAAAGCAAGCTTACTATTCATGAAATTCTCTGGGGTATAGACACCATAACGGATTAAATAATTGTTTGAATTAAAGAGTGAAATTGTAGTGAAATGTTTATGAGAAAACAGCTGTTTTAAATGTGACTGATTTGAAATTTAAGAGATTTTGTAAATCATTTTCAGCCAAATGCAGATGGGAAACAAAAATTTCTAAATCAAACCTTATAAATTAGGTTACAGCAGAAACAAATTTGCTTCAAATATATCTGTAGCATGAACAAATTGGCCCAGTTTACCACTGTAACTTCATTGTTTATTTGATTTATATATGGCTGACTTTGCATTAATATTTTTAAAAACTCCACAATGGAGTCTCCATAATGGAGAGTAATTATGTGTTACATAAACTTCAAAAGAGATAGACTTAGGATTGGGATCTAGGCCAGGTACAGTGGCTCACACCTGTAATCTCGGCCCTTTGGGTGGCCAAGGCAGGAGGGTCACTTGAGCCCAGGAGTTTGACAGCATGGCAAGACCTTGTTTTTTACGAAAAATTTAAAAGTTAGCCAGGCACAGTGGCGTGTACCTGTAGACCCACTTACTAAGGAGGCTGAGGCAGAAGGATCACCTGAGCCCCGGAATTCGAGGCTGCAGTGAGCCACAATTGTGCCACTGCACTCCAGTCTGGGCAACAGTTAAATTCCAACTAAAAAAAAAAAAAAAAAGATTGTGATCATTTCCCTTCAAGCAAGTCCCAGGTTACAATAAAAGACTCTTTTCTTACAGCTTCCTTGCCTTGAGTGTGGTGT